TAACCAGAAGGCTGGCGATTCAAACCCACCAGCCACTCCTCGGAAGGAAGGTTGGGCAATCTACTTCCATGGTGATACTGCCTTGGAAACCCAAGGAGAGGTCGCTTTGAGTCGGGTGCAACTCGACGGCACAGAACAACAGATGAGGCTATAATTAGATGGAGCATACACCTGGCACAAAACAGAAGGCAATATAAAAAATCATAGTTATTAATTTAATGGAAAATTGCCTCCTAATAATCTTGAGGCAAAGACTTTGGCTTAGACTAAAAGCATCAATAAAATAATCTCAAATACCTCATTCTAAACTCTTAGGTGGTTAGAGAATCTATAGTGGTTAAGAAAGAGAACACAGTAGAGTAAAAAGACAATGAAACTAATTATTACCACGTATGAGTAAAGGAGTAATCAGTATCTACTCCCTGTCTCATATATATTTGTTGTAGTTGAGTGCTGGCAAATCAATTTTCAATTCATAGAAACCCCATATGACAGAGTAGAACTGCCCCATATGGTTTCATAGGCTTCAGTCTATACAGAAGCAGATTGCCATGCATTTCTTTTATGGAGCTGCTGGTGGGTTTGAACTGCATAACTTTCACGAAGTAGCTCAGTGTGTCACCACTGTTCCACCAGGGCTCACTTTATAAATCATTTCCTTATCAATCCTCTCCAGAAAGATGTTAATAAAAATGGTATAAGACATTAAGAGATTCTAATCAAACACTGTTGAATTTGGGGGGGGAAGGATTAATTACAAAACTTGCCAAATGCTATTAATGACCAATACTCTTTTTGCTACACATCCCAAGTTATCATTTATTGCTCACACACTCTCTCTATGAGATGTTCATAAATCAATATTTACTACATGCATTTTTTTCTCTTAAGGTAGATGAAGAAATAGGAGGTTAACAAAAGCTACTAAGAGTTACAAAGCATGCTAGCTACATTTTATTTGCAAAATTCAACAGCATGTTACTGGCTATTACACAAATGCTCTTTCCCCCAATTTTGGAGAATAATATTCTCTATACAGGTGATTGAGATGTAACTTAATGGCTCTTTGAGACACTTGCACATATACTGTGTTGATACACACATGTATATATGCATGTACATACATATATATCCATACACACGTATATCCATACAAGTGTCATTGCATCACATGAAGACCTCTATTAGTATGTTTTTCTTCTCATATTTCTACTAGCAAAAATGAGCACAGATAATGACTTTTTAATAGGAAAAAAATTGAAGAAAATAAAATTGGAAAGTATGACAGGTTACGCTGTAGGAGTCCAATAAAATAAATCAATGCCAATTTATGTAGCGGTAACGTGCTAGAAAGTTCTTTGATTAGTATTTTAAAAAACAGTTAGAGTAAAAAGAAGTTTGCTGCTTCATTTGATGGTGGTGACCACAGGCACCATTGCAATGGCACTGGCTGAGTTGGAGTTGACAATGTCTTCGTACTCTGGGGGTAGGTCTAAATGAGGTTCTGTTTCACTCCTGAGAAGGGTCACCTGGCCACTGGCCTCCTCATAGGTCGGTGGAGGGTCGGAGTTGGACAGGCATGTGAGAATCAGAGCGACCAACTACATATTCCAGAAAGCCTGGAGACAGCCCGCTGCTGTCATACATTTCATCTGGTTGGGAAAGAGGAGTGATGATATTAAGGTGCTGAGGAAAAGGAATGTGGCCCTCAGTCACTGTCTGTCTATGAGTTTTGTTTCTCAGGAAGCATCTCCAGATTAAGAAAATGACAAGGAGGATGATGAAGAGGCCCAAGATTAATGGAAAGGTCAGGTAAAACTGAAACCAGTCACTTCCTCTGTTACTCTCCCCTTGATGTGCTTTTGTCTAGATATACCAAAACTCCTGAAAATGAGAGAAAAAATAAATCAGCAATTAATATGATCAAAAGATGGTCAGTCAGAATCTATGAATTTTCTTTTCAAGACTTGACATTATTTACATTTTCAGCTATGACATTTTAGAGGAAAAAATAAGGTATAATTGGTTCCTTATTTTCCAATTATACCAAATAATGTTCCTTTAAAAATACAACTCAAACTTTATTCTCCATGTCCAACTATGAGGTTCTCATCACCTGATCTGCATTATCATTAATTAAAAAAGAAAAAAAAAAGTTGCTGTTGAGTTGACTCTGACTTGTGGCAACTCCATGCGGTCTGAAAAGAAGTATGTTCCATAAAGTCTTGGGGTTTTTTTAAGAAATTAATTTTGTTGTTGTTGTTAAGTACAGACACAGCAAAACATACATCAATTCAACAGTTTCTACATGTACAATTCAGTGGCATTGATTGCATTCCTCAAGTTGTGCAACCATTCTCTCCCTCCTTATCTGAGTTGTCCCTCCCTTTGGACTCAGGTATTGTGGGCATTGTGATGTTTGTGCAAGACTGGACATTGTTTCATTCTGCTGTATATATATGGTCACTGTGAGTAAGAGCTAACTTGATGGCAACTGAAAACAACAACAATTTTTCTGGAGTAGATCTCCAGGTCTTTCTTCCAAGGTGCCTCTGGGAGGGCTCAAAAAACCAATCTTTTGATTAGCAGCCCAGTGCATTAAGCATTTGGACCACCAAGGTACTCATCATCATTAAAAGTATGTGCTAATTTAGGATCTTGAGTCTCAGGAAGTGTAAATGGTTAACCAAAAAGTCGGTGGTTTGAGTTAACCCATTTGCTCCTCAGAAGAAAGGCCTTGAGATCTACTTCCAAAAACAAACCATTGAAAACTCTATGGAGCACAGTTCTGCTCCAACACACGAGTCTGAAGTGAGGTAACTAGTTGTAGGCTTTTGGTACTCAAACACATGACAGATGAACACCTTGTTTTCTAACTGTTTTCTTGGAATCCCAGACTTCCGTCCCCAACGTTTAGTAAACGTATGTGGACCAAATGTTGCAACTACATATTTTGACCACAAACAATGTAACAAAACAAAATGTGTATTAAAAAAGAAGAAGAATTTACATACAGCTTCTAGTAGAGGCATGGAGCTAGCGAAGAAACTGTCTTAGGTTGTTTCTAAACCTAGGCCTTAATCCTAAATGAGATGTGGTCTGTCTAGTAGTTCAAGTCTTTAATATTTGTGGGTGGAAATATTTAAAAAAAAAAAAAAAAAAAACCCTGACCTGGGCAACTTATTCTCTAAGTCTTGATTTCCTTATCTGTGAAGTGGGATAATACTCATCACCTTATAAGTTGTCTAAGTATTAAATGAGATGATATATATAACATGTTTAGTCAACTGTATGATACATAAACATTCAATAAATAATGTATTTTATAATTAAAATTTTCACACATAATAATGAACTCTGATTCAAATTAACTGGTTCATCTAGCCCATATCATGGTACAGACTAGACCTATTATTTATTTATTTTTTTAAATTCTGCTTTGGGTGCAAATTTACAGAGCAGAATTTGTTTTACATTCAATAATTCATATACATTTGGTTTCACTCCCTGATTACCATCCCCAACCCTAACCCACTCTCCTCTCCTCCCTTCCCTGTAGCCCTCCCTTCCTGTGCCCTTCTTAACTATGCATTCCTGTCTGTTCAGGTTTCTCTCCATGTGAATGTTCCCCCTTTGATTTTTTTTTCAATGGTTAATCTCAGTCAGTAAGTGCTTTCTAAAAATCATATTTATTTGTCAGCACTGCAGGTCACTGATGATTTCAAGGATATCTGTTATCCAAGGAAGGAGCCTTTGGAAGCCTAATTGGAAAAAGTGGTAAGGAAGGGAGTTAGATCATTACAAAAAGTGGGGGGAGGATGGAGATGGCAGAATAGGCAGACAAGCTACACAGACCCTTTTCAACAAAGAAAAGAGAAACCAATTGATAGAGACACAGAAGATAATCCTGGAGCCCTGAGCTTTGAAAGGAAGTATACAATAGTGGATTTGATACCAACTAGAGGAAAAACCTGAATGAAAACAGTGAGTATGAAGATGGATGGAGTTGTGGACTGTCAGCTACTCTAATGGGACCAACAGCCTGAATATTTCCAAGAAGTATTGGAAACTGAGAATTGACCTAAAGATTAGCCCTGGTGGCCAAGGGCTGCAGGGGAAACTGCACTGGTGGCCTATGACTAGGAAGGGAAATAGCAAGGAGGGAAGCAACCTGAGTGATGGACTTCTGGCTGTATGTAAGTGTG